GGTCAGGCGCATTCGGGAGCTCGTGGGGTGAGTCAGGGCACAAGAGGAGGAACATGACAGGGCCATGCGCTTGAACGGGTTGAGCGTGAGGAGAGGAAGCATAGCCATTTCTATGGAACTCAGGGAGTCGAGCCGGACACATTTCTCGATCGCGGTCGGATGGGCCATAGGAGACTGGTGGGAGCGGTGCAAGCACAGGCGTAAGAGCCGGCGGTGTATGGTGTTTCTTTAGATGGCATTTATGACACTCGTAGACGACGCGCTCGGGTATATCACCATTTGTATCATTGGCGTGATGCATCGAATTAGGCCATCGTATTAGATCCAGTGGTCCCATACCGTTGACGGGCTGCTGTTGATGCGGCTGTTGATGCGGTTGTGCACGACGCCACCACTTCGGGCTAGCCACGGACTGACACCTGAAGCATTTCTTCGGAACGTCGTCCTTCCCATGTCCAGCACTGCCCTGCTCACCATCCCCGGTACCATTGACTTCATCCTGCTGATGCTGCCCCTGTCCCTGACTTGCCGTCGTCGCCGTACTTGGTCCAACACCATTCGTCGCCGCAGCCGCAGCCGCAGAGGTACGCTTACCAGCACCCGATGGCGAAGAGTGCTGGACATACGCAGCCTTCCTTGCCGTGCCCGTAAGCGTAAGATCAGCCTGCTTGAAGGTCCTAGCATATATCTGCAGGGCATTTCCATCCGTCGAACTCTTTGATTCACCCATCTCATGCACTATAGTTTGCACATTATGGTGCGGACACCATATCACTGGCACAACAACACCTGTTTCCTCGCCCATGGTCGCAGTTGAAACAACGTCTTTCCTAGTACTTTTCACCGGCGTAATGTCGAATCCCATATTATACCCTGCCTGATGCGCACACCCAACATGAAACCGCGCATTACACGTCGAAGCCCGACACGAAACACAAGCGCCATTCTCGGATTTGCATATCTTACATCGGTCTTTGAAGCTTTCCTGTGGTATCGACTCGATCCCCTCAGCCGGCTCGAGGTCTTTGGCACTGCCGAATTTGATTTCGGGGAGCCATATGGCGCAGATTACATGTACCCAGTTGTTACCTGCGGTGCGCTTGAGAGGTTCTCGGGGTCCCATCGGCTTGCCTGCTGCTTCTTGGCGTTGACGATAAAGCTTGATAGCTTCGTTGACCATTTCGCGCTCGAGGCGCTCCTTTTCACGTTCTCGCTCGCTCTTTTTCTTGTGGGATGTTTTGGGCGGCTCCATCAGTTCATGCTGTGTCTCGGTGATAGGACAGAGAACGCATTCGTATGATGTGGAAACAGTTGGGTTTCTGTCGTTGGCGCACATGTCGCATATCCATTTTGCTGCTGGGCGGGAAGAGTCGATTCCGTAACAGTCTCTGTGGACGGTCAGGCGGCAGTCTCGACAGGATAGGTGCTGGTCGCCCATGGGCTCCATCTTCTTGCACACAGCGCAAGGCAGGACTTTGGGTCGAGGCGGTTCTGGGACCAGAGGCGGAGGAGCTTCCTGCACAACCTTCTCGGCAGCTCTCTTCCTGGACGACGTCTGCTGCTGCTGCTGCTGTTGTTGTTGCTGTTGCGGAGTAGGAGCTGGCGGAGGCGCATCGGCCATGATTGCATTACCGGCGTTTCCATCTTTATCAGTTGTCTTGGTCTTCTTCTTCGCTGGCTGCTGGTGTTGGTGTTGAGTCTGTTGTTGCTGTGGCTCAGGCGGATTACTTGGAGGCTCCTTGACCACTTCCGTAGTGACATGTACACCAATCGAAGTCGCTATAGTGGCCGTGGTCTGGTTGATCCTCACATCCGACTCGGAAGTGGTCAGAAGCTGAGACAATAAACCCTCGTCATACTTCCGACGCCACGACTTATTTCCACCTTGCGAGATACGCTTCGCGATCTCATCAGGATCTTCCCAGTGAATTCCATACTTTCGCCAAAGGACCGCGCAACGCTGACAGAGAGAGACGGTTAGTCTGTTGCCCTTCTCGCGCTTTCCGGACTGTTCGGACGGTATTGTAAAGCCAGGCGGGACGGCAGGAGCTCGTCTCCAGCGCTTAGAAGAGCGGGTATTGCAGAATTTACAGGTAAAACCCCTGCGTTTCTCCGTGGCCTTGTCATTGTCGAATGCGGAATCGTCGTGGTCGTCCGCAACGTCGTCTAGCAGCTTTGCAGCGCTGTCAGCCTTCTTAGCGAGTTTCTTGCCCTTTCTGTCCTCGTAGTTACCCCATATCTGACGGCCCTTGGGGGTCTTCTTCCACATGTAGTAAAACCGCACGATATGGCGATGCTTGACGGTGCCGACATGTTTGGTGATACTCCTCAACTCGGAGCCGTACTTGGCTACTCCGGCTTCGAAAAGCTTGACCTCCTCAGGTTTGAGGTATGGTTCTTTGAGGTCGTTGTATTTATGCACTGCTTTAAGTCGGGTGAGAGCAGGCTCGACATTAAAGTTCTCTTCGTACAGCAGCGCCAGGGCCTTGTCGAGATAGTTTGTGGAGTATTCCGGAATCCCCTTGGTGGCGGCCACTTCCTTGGCCTTGACCATGTACTCGTCGATGAATTTTTCCCTCTCTTCGAGCGAGAGATGCGAGCCAGGCGCATCATCCTCCCCCCTAGCGGAGGAGAGCTGTGAAGCGTCCGGCATCTTAAACTGTAACTCCGCGGTATGAAACTTCTTCCCGTCCACGGTAACGGGCTCGTCTTCGCCACGGGCGATATAACCAGGGGGTACCTCCTGTACCCACTTTGGGCGTGACGCTCGCTCGGCACGGTCTGCCTCCTGTGCGGCCAGGGCTTCCTTGGACAACTTGACCTCCTTTTTAGGCCCCGACCGGACATACTTCCGCTTTGTCTCTACGGGTTTGAAGTACTCGACCGGGTGACCATACCATGGCACGACGTTAGCCTGGTGCCGGCTGCCCAAACGAGAGCTAGCACGCGGGTATATGCGATCGTCGTAATCAAGCGCATCTTCCACGCGGCAATGGATGCCCAAGTAGCGAAACTGCCACAGTTTAGCCTGGGCGATCTGCTCTGCTGTCGCTGGTTTGAGCGCGTGTTGTTGCAGTTGCTGCTCGTTTGCCGGGCTACTCCGCTGGGTGGCTGCCGCTGTTTCTGCATCGGCAGGCGGATGCTCCTCTTCTTCCTCTTCGACTATCTCAGGTTCTGTGTCGTTGTTTGTGCGCGACTCGCCCACAATGGGAGTGTTCCTGGCCTCGAGCTTCTTTTCCTGAGCTCTGCTGCACGGGCCACATGCCCAAGCGAATCCTCTGGCTGGTTTCTTTTGCAGCACCGGCCGGACACATAGCATGTGGTATGTATTATGGCACACCGCGCAGTCCACCGAGTCATTACTACAGACATTAGCATAACATATACATGCATGTTTAATACATATTTAATGTATATATATAAATTGTAAGGGGAAAAAACCTACTTTGCGGCGTATTGTTGGCACTTTTTGCATGTCTTGACGGCACTGGTAAGCTCCTTTCTGCGGCCAATCTCGACCAAGACGTACTTCCATCGCTCGTCGAGAACCTGCTTGACATGCTGGGGCACATTGATGACATTGCTGGTGGGAATAACGTCATAGTACCGATGTATGTAGCGGTCATACATGCGCTCGAACCAGAAGCAGTCTTTTGCCTTCATGTACTGGTCCCAGTTTGCGATTTCAGTGCGGTGCTTGATGGTGCATTTTCCGCGTAAAGAAGTGAGAGGGCAGGCATCCGAGTGCATAGAGGCAAATACGACTCGGAGGTCGTTTGTCTTGCGCTGGATGTCACGGGGCCTGTAGTACCAGTTTACGCGGACACTCTCAATGGGGCCTGATGGGTTGTCCTTTGATGGGAGAAACTCCATGATCCGCGCGAGGTAATATGGCTCCCCCGGGGGTTCACATATCAAATATACGTGGTCTAATCTGTTAGTACTCATCAAATAAAAAAAATAAAATAAAATAAAGAGAAAAAGAGCGAAGGAAGGGAGGAAAAAAGAAAAGAAAAAAGGACGTACCGTTCGGGGCGAGGAGGGTGCCGTCGTCTGCTTTTAGCTTGCCATTTCTGAGCATGGCTCGCGAGGAGCGAAAGGTCATCATGGAGGTGGTAGCGGCTTCTTCTGAATTGCGCGAACCGGCGGCAATGAACCGCTTGCTGGGGTGTCCGGCACCGTTTGCTGGCACGACATTCTGCACTGTAGTGCTGGCGCCGGGCTGTTTCCTCTTCTTCGACGAGACGACGACGGTGTTGGGGTTTGCGGAGAAGGTCGAAGTGCCTGGAATGGCCGAAGCGGAAGCTGTGGTAGTGGTGGTGGTCGTGGTGGTAGCCGCATGGCCATGGCCATCGCTGTTTCTGTCTCTCGAAGCAGCGGCGCCGTTGTTAGCTGCGGCCGCTGCAGCTCTGCGCGTGCTCATGCCCGGCGGTCTCTCGCTGTTGGAGGCCGGCGAGGCGATGCGAGTGTTGCTGGAGGAAGAAGAAGTCTGAGCCGCGGCGTCTCTGTCTCTTGGTTTGCGGCCCGGGGTGCCCTTTGTCGTGGCAGACGCAGCAGTGATAGTGCCCGTAGAAGCAGCTGAAGCAGGCGGCGGCGGCTGTTCGAGCTCAGCATCCAGCTCTGTGTCTTCAGCGTAGTTGATACGGGGCCTGTTTCGCGAGCGAGTGCTGTAGGGAGCGGGAGCGGGAGCGGGAGCAGGAGTGGTGGCACTGGACGCGGTCTCTGAAGAAACGGCCTCGCCCACGTCTCGGTCCCTGTCCCTGCCGTCCTTCTCCCTCGACCTGTCTGCTGCTGCCGCGGCCATGGCTGCAGTGGTCGTATTAGCAGCAGCAGTAGCAGGAGTCGTGGCTGCTGGTGCTGGTGATGTTGTTGTTGCGGTGTTGGTGGAGTTGGTGGTTGTGGTGTTGGTGTTGGTGCTGCTGGTATCTCGATCTCGTCCGCGGTGCTGGGCAGCAGCAGCCGCCATGGGATTTCCCAGAAGTTAAGTTAAATAGATGAGCGACGGCGAGACGGAGGAGCAGCCTCAGGCGCAACCTATGGCCGTGAGGGATGCATCCACCGTGAGCAGCAGATGCAAGCAGGAGGCAGAGAGGAAGCCGGAAGCAAGTAAGAAAAGAAGAACAAGAAGTGTAGATGTAAGTAGGAGGAAGAAGACGAGGAAGAAAGCGAGATCTTTTTGGTGTGTCTTGTGTCTGTCTGGGTTTAACTAACACTAAAAACTAACTTAAGGCGGATTTTCTGCTGGGTCCCTTTTGGGGGGTTCGGGGGATGGAGCAGCTTTCTTTTCTTCTTCTTTTCTTCTTCTTAGTCAGGTAGACATCAGGGAAGCAGATGAGAAGAGAAGAAGAGAGGAAGAGGAAGAGGAAGAGGAAGAAGGAGAGTTAGAGTAGAAGAGGAAGAGTAGGAGAAGAGCCGGGAGACGCCAAGTAGTAACACAGCAAGAGAAGAGACTCTTCCTTACTTCCTCTTGCTCTTACTATCTTACTCTTTTATACAGGAACCTACTGCCTGCTGCTTCTGCTGCTTCTGCTGCTTCTTCTGCTGCTTCTTCTGCTGCTTCTTCTGCTGCTTCTTCTGCTGCTTCTTCTGCTGCTTCTTCTGCTGCTTCTTCTGCTGCTTCTTCTGCTGCTTCTTCTGCTGCTTCTTCTGCTGCTTCTTCTACTGCTTGCTCTTACTGTCTGGTCTTACGTAGGTACTCTACTGACTCCTAGTACTTACTCTCTATTTTACCGTCTCTGTCTGCTCTGCCTGCTCTGCCTGCTCTTCCACTTCTCTGCTCCTACTCCGTATATCAGTCACAGTCAGCCTTCCAAGTCCTCCTGCATGCCACGTCCGCCCCCTGTCATCGTCCTTTTCTTCTTCCTCATATGCCCTATACAACTACTTCATGACTACTTAGCGTCAGCTAATGTACATCAACCCGCGCAAGATCACCCATCCCATCCTCCACTGCTGTCCCATTGACCAGTAACAGACCACCCTCTCCGAAGGATACATAACCAAGACAGACGAGACGAGTTATGCTGCTCTCCCCCAGATATACCTCGTTAGCTTAAGCAGCAGTTCGAACAACTCCTTTCATGCTTTCATCCGGTCCATCCGCTGGTCCCTGCTCCCTCCCCCTTAAAAAACTATCTCTGCTTGATAGTGAGTGCCCTTTTCCCTCCTCGTCCTCTGTCCTCCTTCTCGTCATCGACTCGTCTCGCCACTCACGTCTCTTCGTTTTTTGCTTCTTTTTTTCCTTTTCCTTCTTTTTTCCGTCTTCTTTGCTTTTTCCTGCTTCTTTTTTTTTTTGCTGGTAAGTTCAACTGGCCGGTTAGAAAGTTACCACAAACTGGACCTTGCTCATTGGCTCTTCCCCATAACAAGCGAGACGGAAGACGAGGAGCAGGCTGTAGGCAATAGACACACAGGCAGTAGATAGTAGAGAGTAGACAGTAGGCAGTAGGCAGTAGACAGCAGCCATCATCGTCTTCTTCTTCTCTTCGTCTTTTCTATATCAACTTCGTCGTCGTCGTCTTCGCCTTTTCCCTTTTCGTAATTTTGTCATGCCGCACTAAGGCTTAGATAAACATATCCTCGCTGCTTTTACGTAACCTTCCAACGACGTCAAGAAGAAAAAGAAAAGAAGAAAAAGGACGAAGATGAGGATGAAGATGAAGATAATAAAAATAGCCAGGCAGACATGAAAAGCAGAAGAGGAAGAAGATAAGAAGAAAGAGTCGCAGGATGGAAGACGACAGGCTGATGCTGAGGATGGCACACGGCTTCCCTCTTCTCGTCCTTCTCTTTCTACAGCTTACTGCGCCCTGACCTGGCGAGACCACTACTACCACCACTACCGCTAACATCAACCCCCACAGCCTCAAACCACCACCTCCACATCCACCAGAAACAGTGACAGACACAGTGATAGACAGAGGCAGAGACAGTCACGATGCTGCCTCCTCTCACCGTCGAGCAGATAGCTCGGCAGGCCGGGCAGTATGAGTTTGATCCCCAGGTGCCTCTCCGCTACTGGCTTCGTTCCGCCGGCCTGCTCGTCAAGGAGGTACTCACCCCATCGTCACTCCCCGCCCTCACTTCACCACTGCTAACTGTAGAATCACCAACAGGCTCGCATATACGAACAAGAAGGCAATGACCAGCAGGCCTACCTCCTTCTCTTCAGGCATGCCCAGCTCGTCCTCATCAATCTCACTGCCCACCCTGACGCCCAAGACCCAAAGAACAAGCAAGGGCTCGCCGCCGCAAAGAAGGAGGTCCAGGCATCACTCAACAAGCTAGAGATCCTCAAGCCCCGGATACGCAGGCTATACGACCGCTACCAGGAGCTTCAGCAGCGTAGCCAGAGCGATAAGCATGCTGCTGACACTACCACTACTTCAATGGAAGATAATAACACGGCAACCGCTTCTTTCTCCGATCTAGATGCCACCGTTCGGAGTGCAACCACAGTGCAAGATCCAGCGCTTGCTGGACGGCCGGAGGCACTGCAGGCTGCTGAAAACAGAGACTTTGCCGTCAGACTGGCTCAGAGTGAGTTTAGGCGCAGAGCCTTTGCGCGTGGAGATGCTCGGCGGTCCCCATATGCCAGTTCGGTGGCCAGCATCAGTACTACAAACACCACCAACACCACTGCCACTAATACCGCCAAGATGGAAGGAGATGTGCTCGCAAGGAGGCTCCAAGAGGTCAGGTCCATGCTCAGCAGCGGCCACTCAAAGTCCACCACCACCACCACTACTACTACTTCCACATCTTCCACTTCGAAGTCGAGATCACCTACTCTTATGCCATTAGAGCAGCATCTCTCAGGATACAGATATCCTTCTATCCCTAGACAGAGCTATCAACACCACCATACCCGCTCTCACTCTCCCATCCGGCCTCCAAAGGTTGAACAGGCACCGCCAGTCCCAGGAAAGGCACCAGCCATACCCGCAAAGATACCCGACCCAGACATCACATCCTCCTCCACCACTGCATCAACTACCTCTCTCCTCCCTCCACTACCAAGCAAGGTACCCCCTTTACCTCCCAGAACAGGCTCAGCCACTTCCTCGCCGTCACGTACCCCCACCCACTCCCGCTCCAATACCCGTACGCTTATCTCTTCTCCTCCCAAGCTACCCTCTAAACAACCTCCCACTCCGGGCGAGGACAAGGACGTCCTCCACCCCTCAACATTCACCTTCAAACCATCGTCCTACCTCGAAAATGGCACGCCTCTCCGCACAATCTTCATCTCTCCCGACCTGCGCACCGAATTCCTCTCCCTCGCTGGCCCCAACACTACCTCGAACTTGGAAACATGCGGCATCTTGGCAGGAACCCTCATATCAAACGCATTCTTCATATCACGGCTCATCATCCCCGAGCAGGAATCCACCCCAGATACATGCGAAATGCTCAATGAGGCTGCTATATTTGAATACTGCGAGGCAGAAGACCTCATGGTTCTAGGATGGATCCACACTCACCCCTCACAGACATGTTTCATGAGCTCAAGAGACCTGCATACCCAGTCCGGATACCAAGTAATGCTATCAGAGAGTATCGCCATTGTCTGTGCGCCCAGTCACGAGCCAAGCTGGGGTGTTTTCCGACTGACGGATCCGCCGGGCTTGAAGTCGGTGTTGAACTGTACTCGGCCTGGCTTGTTCCATCCCCATGACGAGACAAATATATACACGGATGCCTTGCGGCCAGGACATGTCTTTGAAGCAAAAGGTCTAGATTTTGAAACAGTCGATTTACGACCGACACGGAAATAATTATCCCTCTTTTCCGCTTCTTTTTCTTTTCATTAAAGTTACTTCATTACGTGCGCATTAGCCATAGACATTGATTCTACAGTTTCAGCTTCAATTGACAAAAACATACCAAATCTATGCCTTGCCAGTCCCTTCCTTCCCAGCTATAACACCATTCAATGCATGATCACCAACTCTATGGGGTACATCCAACCCACGGACCCAACCTAATTAATAAGCCTAGTCACTCCCGTCACCTCCAGAACCCTTCGCAGCATCATTCTCTGCTTATCCCCCAAGATGCGCCCCCATACACGGTTATCAACCGTATACTCATCTTTCAACACGCTCCAGTTCGGACTAGGCTCGGGCCTCAACCAATTGAAATCCTCCACAGAAGACCATTTATCAGCCTTCTTCCCATTCTGCCCAGACTGTCTCTATTAGCACACATAGCCCAAACACAATATACACAACTCAGCAGAAAAGTAGAGTGTGGAATAGGAAGAAAAAAAGAAACAGTAACGCACCGAGCGGACAATACTCACGAACGCCTCTGGTAGCGGACTGAATTTTATATCCATGCACCCCTCGATGATCGGATTTGTAGCACAGCTCAAGTAAACAATTACATTACTGCACTGGTGCATTCGGAATTGATGGCATGTTACCACCACCACGGAATCAATAACGTCACTGATGTATGCTGGCCCGTCGACTTTGCCGCATATCAGTAGACTGTCGCATGCGTCGCGCAGTAGACAGGTAGAGAACGAACGGCCTGTTTCGGGGATCGAGGACATGTCGATGACGGACTGCTGAATGCCCTGCAGCGAGAGCGAGATGTTTTGAACTGGAGCAGAGTCAGGTAGGATGATATATGAGTCTTGGATCTGGTTGTATGATATCACGGGTGCATTTGCCGGTTGCTCCTCCTCCTCCTCCTTTTCTTCTTGCTGCTGCTCTTCTCCTTCTTTTGCTGCTTCCTCTTCTGCCTGTTTTCCTTCGTCCCCTCCATCTACTGCCATAGCTGCATCAGGCTCCATGTTAGTATTACTGCTTTTGGGCTCAGCTTGGGTGGTTTGTGTATTTGGCTCCGGACCAGTGTTCGGAGCCGGTGTCGAAGGCGCTGAGACAATATCTTGCATTATTTCATCAGTCGTGTTCTTGATAGGAGTATTTTGACGGGATCGCTTGAATGCAAATCGTTTACGAGGAGCAATCGCCTCTTTTGCATCTGCGAATTTCTCCTGAAGAGACTTTATAGCCTATTGTATTATATTGTTGCATTAGCTCTAGCGTGAAGATAACGTATTGACTCGGATAAAAAATCAACATACCACTGCGTATACCCGTTGGTCATAACTTGGTATGTAAGTGGATGCATTTTTGACTTCATCCGACAGCCGTGAAATGTCCGCCAAGCAATAATCAGCAGCGCTGACTTGTTCACCCGCTACCGTAGGTGTGGTGTGAAGGCTGCTGATTCTTTCTCCAATCCCTGTATTAACGAGAAAGTTAGTTCACTGATGATGACGAATACCAAGAAAACACTGTCTGGTTGACGTACTAGCCACTTCCTCTTGGAAATAGTGGAAGAACTTGTCGTTTGTGGATAGCTCTGTTCTACGAGTAGTAGCGGCTCCGCCAATTTCCTGGGCCAAGCACTCCTCTTCCATATCCTTTGATAGCATTTCTTAACGGTATTGGTGTCTTTATTGAATAGGGTATATCCAACGGTGTGCGCGTGCTGCGTGTTGATGCGACAGGTGAACCACAGGGGCAACAGCTGGTATATGGGAAAATATTTTTGACTTCGAGTAACTACGTCATAGACCAAATAGCGGTCCTACTCGGTGCCGAAACTAGTATTTCGTGAGCCGGAGGATCCGTTGGGGCGTTTAAGAAATAGAAGTATATTATCATATGGGTATCTGTAGTGAACTGCAGTCAGAAACGCTCAGGGGTTGAGGTTGCTATTCACACGTCTCGGCAGAAGGAAAGACTTTGATGTTCTTTCTGCAAGAAAGCCCCACTTTGGGTGGTGACGCAGGGGCCGGACAGCGTCTAAATAAGGTTATTACTAAGCGCGCTTTGATTTCTCGTTTGACTGGACTTCATCCCATTAATACAAGGTGCAATGCAAGCAAATTACTATCATTAATATTAAGACAAGCGCGTCTGTTCTACAGAGCTATGTGTACATCTTCAAAAACAGACCTCAGCGCCCACCCACTATACAATTTATAAAACAATACACTGAACAGGGGACATTAAACGACGGACCGAAACGAGAGGACTCCAGGGTATCATCATGCAACAAACGAAACATCTATAGCGAGCTGTATGTAATCAAATGTTCAGGGATAAATGAAAACAGATGACTGAAAAAGCAAATGACTCCAGCTGGAAAAACAGGGAACGTGCGACGTATGTATATATGAACAAATATTAAACAGTGTAAGAGGAAACGAAGGGGAAATTATTGAGAGAAAAGATGTAGCGTGTCTTACTCCTCAAGTAGAGTCTCTTGAAGTAGGTCGTGATTGAGGTTTTCCGGATGAAGTGATACTGGCGCGGGCGGAGGAGGACGTAGGCCAAGAATAGGGCCGCTCTGATTAACCCCCGGCGGTCTTGCTACCAAAGACCCTGTCGGCAGCGAGGAAACAATGCTGTCTGGTTCGTCCACTGCGTTTATGGACCACTTTCCTCGTACCCAGGTGCCCATGCGCTTTCTGATGCCAATATTTCGAGCAGGTACTCCGGCTTTCGAGGGGATGGTAGAATCTGACAAAGCTGAAATGGTGGAAGCGGTATCGCTGTGGATTTGGGAGGCACTGTCGGATACAGCACGAAGGTTTCCTCTCGTGTTGGACGATACAACTGAGTATAGTAAGGAAACCGAAGTCTGCTCCCCGGTCAAAGATGCCTTGGGTACGACTGCATTCGTCTTCGAGATTATTGGTGAGGGGGATGGCCACATTATGCTGGTGTTCGAGACGCGCTTTGGAGGCCTTGGGAAGAAACTAGGGGCGCCTCGTAAAGCCAAGGCAGGGTGTTTGCTTGTGGTGTGTAAATCCATGCCAGAGATAGACAAAAGGCTCTCGTGGGAATTGGAGCGATGAAGTTGGCGAGAAAGTTTTGGTGACTGAATCGGGGTGCTAGTATGGACTTCTGCAGTGTCATCTAGTGGCTGGATGGATGAGTTGAGGTCATATGCCACTTCATCGCCAGGACCATTCGCTGAATCATCACACTTCGATGAGCATATATTTTCGCCGTCATACTCTTGATGTGAGTTGGGTATTTCCTCAACAGTACCGTTTTCCGCTCTATTACAGCCGAGCGGCTGGTTCTCGTCTTTATCAGGCTGTGAGCTAGTTACTTCTTCAGCTGATGGAAAAGAAGATGCAGTCCTGTCGAGCTCATCGGTTTCGTTAATGGAACGGAATGAGGCGTCCGAAAGTCTCGGACGATGGCTCTGTTTGCTGTATAGTGGGGGCGAAAATATTACGCTCTCCGGACTAGTGGGACGCGAAGATTCAAAGCCCGAATCATGGCGGTCAAAGATAGACGACGATCTATAACCTGAAAGCGGTGAGCTGGGTATCGAGGACAGGGCAGACCCTGGTCCTGGGAGCGAAGATGAAGCTTGGGAAAAGGCGCTAGCAACGGACGACGCTGAATTGGTGGGCCTGTGCATGGCCTGTGACATTGGAGGTGCCCGGGAGGGATTTTCATGGAGAGTTGGAGGCAAGACAGGCCGTCTTTTCCGCTGGCGTCGATGTATGGGGATCGCCTTTTCCTTTCTTGGTGTTACGATTTGATTATGGAAGTGATGATGAACATGGATTTCCTGTGGCATTTGATCTGGTATCTTGTCCTCTTCGAGTTCCTCACTGAGGGGGACAAGGTTGCCGTAGGTATGCTCCTCGCCAGTACTGGTGTCAAGGGGCTGGTTAAGTAGAAGTTGCTCGCGTAGATATTTGACGTCCTCATTTGAGTTATGAAGCATCTCTTTCAACTCGGTAACACATTGCTGGAGATTTGCGTTATCCTTCAATATGTCCCGCACGAAATGAGATACCACGTTCGTTCCGTTTCCGTTCCGCGATAGTGATGCAGTAGCCGCAGCGCCTTTAATTCGACCAGCAGCTGTATCCAGCTCTCTTTCGACCATCCGTCGTCTTTCTAGCCTTCCGACAAGCTCGACATGCCTCTCACGCTCCTTCCTGGCCTCCCTTTCGATCCGATCAACTTGATCATGTAGATCACCGAGCGCACACTCGGCTTTCCTCCATCGCTGGATTGCCGCACTCTCGCTTTCCTGGGTCAGGATGAGAGTGTCCTCCAGCTTAGCTTGCTCGTTCTCCAGCTCAAGCAGTTGTTCCTCTAGCTGCTCAACACGTTTGGTAGAAGATGACAAACGTCTGACTTCCAGCTGGGTACTCTGTAACGTTGTAGTCAACGTCCTAACCTGCGCGTCCGATTCGATAAGGAGCTGGTTCAACTTTTCCAGCTGGTCAAGTAGGCCACGGTTCTCTTCTACTATCCGTGCATTTTCAGCTTCTGTCTCTTTCTTGCTCGTTTGCAGTTTCTCCATCTCTGCGGTCATCCGGTCTCGGGTGCTCTCAGCTTCGACTTTGTAGGATTCATGACGGTTAAGTAGAGCCTATATAGAACCACGCCAGGAGTAAAAAGAGGTTAGCAGGGATGACACTAATATCTAAATATTCAGACGTCAGAGGAGGGTAGGGTTGATATATAGTCTGAGTGGCCAAAAATGATTCGTCCAACATGGGCCAGCAAGGCAGCCTGCATGCGTACCTGACCAAGCCGTGCAGCAGTTTCCACATCCCGTTCCAACTCCGCCAGAGCAGCTGAATTATGCTCAAGATACGCACAATCACCCCTCCCACAACAACATTCTAATTTCGACGCAGACATCTTGGAACGCGGGAACGTTCATGAAAATCAGGCAAGGCTCTTCGTATAAGGGGCGAAGCTGAGCCCTCGGCCTACCAGCATGTCGCGAAGGAGCTAGCCGTACGCAAGGGCGGACGAGGTGGAGAAGCTCGTAGGAGAGTCAGTCACACCTGGACAGAGACAAGATACCGGTTCTCCTCGCTTCCCGGGCGTCGCTAGTAGGGTCGTGTTGTTGATGTTTCTTGCTTCCACGTCCACGCCGGTCGACTTTTTCCTCTTTTGCGGACGTCGGTGTCGGGGCCGGGGTTGTTTGGTGTCAGGTGCAAATCAATAATGGAATTAATAGTGGTGGCGGGGAAAGGCCCTCGGGACAACGCGCAAAGGACCAGTAAGGTCGTCGAGCTTCGTGTCGAAAGTTATGCCGGGCGAAAAGGAGACTCGAGTGATCTGCGTCAATATTAGTGCAGTCACTAGCTATAGAAGGCGCTTTATACACAGAGTATGCCGCGTCTCCTCGACCATCCATCCCTATCCACGAGAGCTTACTCGCGGACTGATAGTTATTGGCGCAGCGTTCTACGTCTATCAGTACTCAATATTAGAGCTAAATCAAGCAGATAGATACCGATATTTGGTATTGATAGGCGCAGTTCAACCTTGTCTGCAGCGATGTGAGCAATATTTGTTTACTCCGTGTCTCGTATTGTGATTGTTGGTCACCCATGCCATGCGAGAAAAAAGGGGTGCCTGAAAATCGAGTCCCATACGGAGTATATAAATATGACTTGAAATGTGACTTAAATGTGAGCCAGCAAAGTCGTTTATATTCCAGGGAAGATCTGGGTGCCGGGTATGTACCCGTTCTTGATGATCATTATTGAGTAGTGAGGTCGTTAATGTGGCCTGGGTCTCTAATTCTATGTATACAAGGTCTAAGTGGAGATGAGATGTCGGCTAGGAGTTACTGTCCTAGCATCACTGTGTAGTGGGTGATTGTAGATGTCAGTGGGCGGAAATCGTGTCAACCGTGCGCCAAATCGTAGGTAATGTGGCTTTTGCGAGTGATTGGGAACGAGTCCAGAGAGTAAATCAATGCTTGCCCGGCAACTCGACCAGTTAGCAATCCATCTGAGATGCGCAGACGTTGTCCGACGAAGTCCAGCTCGAAGGACCGGGAAGAGCCAGCTTTTTCATTTCTTTTCATCTCTTGTTGTATATCTCAATGTACCGGAAGGATGGTCCGGAGAGGACCTAGCTTGCTGGAATCCTATGTCTGCTGGTTCGCGCCTTTATTCCCGGCTAGACCAAGTGGTGGGACACTGTCTGAGACGGTTTGAAGCTTCTTGTATTCCTCCTCAAGGCGTCTCTGCATCTCAAAATCGGCCTGCCGTTCTCGTTTAATTCGCTGCTGTTCCATATCTCGCTCAACGCCAGCATGCATTGCCTATCGGAGAGAAGTTAGCCGCCTCTTCAGGCTTCAAAGCCTCGTATAATAACGCCTTTCTTACCAATCGTTCCGATTCCTGTGACCAGTGGACGAAGTAGACAATGCCCGCTGTGACGAGGGAAGTGACTCCAAGCGTAACCTTCGAAGCTCGAGACATGGTTCTTCTTCTTTCCCAGGGTCCCGTAACACCAGAGGAAGCTGAAGGACGCTGAAGGCTTGGAGGCGGAGATCGTTGAAAGGGGCAAAGGAGCTTGGTTTATCGTCGTCGCCTTCGTTGCAGGTCGCAGGAAGAAGCTCAGGTTTTTCCCGTTAGGGAACCTTGAATCAGTCACGTGATTATTACTTGGCCCGGGCGCCGCTGAGGGTGGCTTTAAAGCGGGAAGGGCGAGTCCCGTCGTCATTGACGGCAACCCCAGGACCATTCTACTTCAGCACGACAGGACCAACGAGACACAACATGGTAAGAGAGCTTGTTGATGGATGTTACCGAGAACTGGATACAGAAACTGACAATGGGTGTTCCAGGCTGCACAAAACTCCGCGGGAATCCAGACCCTCCTCGATGTATGATTGCCTGCCCACCATATACTCTAGGGACAACCCAGCTAATTTAACATGGATAGGCGGAAAGGGAAGCTCATAAGATAGTTCAGAATGGTATGTCTCCCGCTAGATTCATCCAATCAACTTGTAACTTCCGCTAACTTCTCATCTAGCTAGAGAATGTCAGTTAAACCGTCATCACTCCCCATCTTGTAACCTGCAACAGGCTCCCTAACGCTCTATCTACTTAAGACCGCACAAAACGCATAAAGGACGCCAAGTCGGAAGCACAGAAGGAGATCGAAGACTACAAGAAACAAAAAGAAGAGGAGTTCCGGAAATTCGAAGCTGAGGTAAATCCTTGTTTCATGTTGGGGGTGGTAGATGTTGATGCGGCGAGCTAAATGGACTATGCTGATATTGTTTGTCTCTCTCTATAGCACTCGAGCGGAAACCAGAAAGCTGAAAGTGATGCAAACAAGGATGCAGAAGCCCAGCTCGTTGAAATTCAGAAATCCGGGAAAGAGAAGGGCAACAAGATCGTCGAGGACCTCATCAAGACCGTCCTAGACGTCAAACCCCAGGTCCCAGAGAAGATAGCTAAGAAAGCTTAGACTACGCTCACTGACTTGTTTAATGTTTAACGGCTCAGTTGAGGCTTGAGGTTCTTGTTCGGGTCATTCGTTCTTCATGCTTTTATATACTGTGGTAATTATGTGCTGGTTGTTGAAAGCTCAAGGAATTTCATAATCGTTTGTGGTAGGCATGAAGATATTTAGGGATGCGGTTTTGTGCAATTTGCATGTAGCTGTGAATAGAGAAATAGATAGTTTTACAGCCTTAATACACAGCTTGGCTTTTGCTGGTTCTAGCAGCTAGTCCGAGAGTTACATGCGTCACATGAAAACCTTCGGCTTGCTTATTTATATATATATATATATATATATCAGTTAGCAGGTTAAATATTTCCCACTTCATCCAAGGCAATAAGCATACTTTGTTACTTTTTATTCAACTCCATGTCTTGATCGAGGATTTTGGCTTAAAGTGTTGTCCATGTTTCACTTCTTGCTGGTGGCTTCATCGTACCCGAGACTGATCAGCCATCGTCACCTCCATTGGTAGAAGCCATGAAAGTAGCAAGACCAAGAGTCCATCAATTGTGTACCAAAGCACACAAGCCGTTATTCTATTTATTACGGGCCCAGCAATCCCGCCAATTCACCTTCTTTAGCTCAGGCAGCAAAAGTCGATTGCTGGATCGCCGTCTTGCGGGACTTGGCCACCTCATTGAAGACGAATATGCTAATATCCGGGACTCATACTGTAAGTGCCCAAAAGAAATTATACCCCCCTAAGGCATGATGAATCACAAACCCCAGACTCCTGACTGGTAGATGCTGCACTGATGCCTTATTTCGCCCGAGGCAGTGAAACCAAAGCATCCTATAGTATTAGCCCACGGCCTTCTCGGATTTGACGAACTTCGAATCGCAAAACGAGCCTTACCAGCAATACATTATTGGAGGGGGATCAAGGATGCCTACTCTATTAACGGTGTGGAGGTCATTACCGCCCCTGTTTCTCCGTCCGCTTCCATTAAACAGCGTGCACGGGAGCTGTTACGGGGAATTGAAAGCCGGGCGCAAGGCAGAAAGGTTAACATTATTGCGTGAGTCATGCTACCCGTCAGATCCATCGTCTTATTCACAGTACCAACTAAATCGATACACAGGCATAGCATGGTATGTTCTTCTAATATATAATTGAGGAAACTCGGCTTACCTTAATTAGGGGTATGATGTCAACGACAGGCTTTTACAACATACTGTCCAAGTTAAACTAAGAAGTTCACATGAAGCGGGCTAGATGCTAGGTACATGATCAGTAAACTACTACCAACGACGTTCGAAGTCGTTTCGTTGACAACCATAGCCACTCCCCATCGAGGTTCGTGCATGTTCTCCTCTCTGACCCACATTTATAACGAGTACTTAACCAATTTCTCTAGGCTCTGCTGTGGCCGACTTTACTCTTGAATGGCTAGGAGGTCCGTAATAACTAATCTACCCCGATAGACAACAGCTTACTGGTAATAGAGGAGCGCATTTCCCAGGCTTATTTTTTACTTGGCTGCCTTGGGCTGGAAAATGGAGCATTCAAGCAACTCACCCGGAAATATCTCGCCCAAACATTCAACCCTGACGTTGTGAATGTGGATAATGTCAAGTGAGAGCCAGCGTGGCACTAATTTCTGTTGAATGCCGCATTGCTGATATGAACATAGGTATTATTCGTATGGAGCCGCACTCTCCCCCGACACCTGGTCGGTATTTAGCCAATCACGGAGAATATTAGACAACGAAGAAGGCCCCAATGATGGCCTCGTGAGCGTCACAAGTAGCAAATGGGGGTGCTACAAGGGTACGCTGGTTGGGGTCAGTCACATTGACTTGATCAACTGGACAAATCGCCTCAAATGGTTTGCTGCAGAGTTGACCGGTAATAAAAAGAAGTGAGTCACATGGTACCACATATGGGATATCAGTGGATAACCGATCTCTGGTGAATAATAGGTTTAATGCTGTGGCATTTTACCTTGATATTGCGGGTAAGTTATCGTTGGTGGGCCCTGGTTGTGGACTATCGAGGTTTGGTGCAGTAACTAATCGGAATTAGACATGCTCGCAAAAGAAGGGCTATAATGCGTTGCTAGCGAATGGACGCACGGTTTACGGTGGAGTTCTTACATTGGCCTGACAATACTGGTTTCTGTTGAACTTGCATAGAATAATGTACCACACGGAGTATCATATGTGTGCTTTGTAAGAAAGTCAATGTGTTTATTACATTGGAAATTATAGAGCATTATTAGTACATACCATAACACGTTAGTTCGCCTAATTGAAGTACATAGAAAAGGAATCGCCAAAAGTTGGATGTTCATATTCAGCCTGCAGTTCCTGGGCGTTCATTGGCCAGTTAAGCGCTTTGAATCACAAGTTAACCGCGGACCAGCTGAACATCACGTGTGTTCGCGTTTATTGCTATGACGCGAACATTTTTGACGCTTGATAAATTCAGCATCCGACGAAGGCACCCGTTAAACTGCACTATCATGTCGAATAGCAATGGTTACAGTTTTGTCAGAACCCGATGAACCTTCCTGTTTGGATACAGATCCTTCGCTCCTTTCTGAGAGTCCGCGGCCGGCAAAACGACGACGCGTCTATATCCCTCCCGCCTCCATTCCCACGGGCATAAGTAGCCAGGCCGAGGAGGTGGAGGAAGAGGAGGCGGGGGAGGATAGTGTGGACGATGACGATGGAATTGATATAGGATCAGTTAATGAAACGGAAGAAGATTCGGAAGATGGATCAGATGATGGGTTACCGCCTCAAAAGGCACGAATTCTGAAAACGCGAGGGGAAACTTCACAGCTGCAGACAAGTAATTTAAAAGTATATCAACCGAAATATTATACAGACCAGGAACCAGTCTTTGTTACCCAGTTGACACAGCCATCGTCGAGTCCGTCAAGGATCCGTGGCCCGCGATGGAAAAAGCCCCAACCACGGCAACACTATCTGAGCCCATCGAGACGAGTTCCAGCTACACCTTCTCTTGCTCCTCCCATACTTCCCTCTCAACCAAACTCAAATGAAGGAGTTAGCTGTCAGCCAGAGGGTGAAGTCTCTGATGATGATATTAAGGCTGCCGTACGCGAATCCCTTAAATCGCTACGAGAGGAAAATTCGGCTCGTGGGACAAAACTAGGGAATCGAATTGCCAATAAACCTTTACCAACAAAAGCTGATGTTCCCTCTTTACCATCCGCGGCTGGCAATGGTTCGAACCTGACTACGCTAGACTTGGATTTTGACCCGGACGATATCCCTGACGTGTTTGGATCTTCTCCCATATCCTCTCCCAGACGGACAGCCACTAATGGGCTCCTTACTACCCAATCCCAGACTGGAGTCCAAACGTCACAAAGAAGACAAACAAATTCCCAACAACAGAGCTTTCGACAGACCACACTATTTGGCGGGATTGCAAGCAACCAATCCCCGTCACAACCGGCCATCTCCAGGAACTGGCCTCTGGCCAGTCAAAGCGAGCCTCCGACACATCATGTCCTCAACCCGGAAGCTCTAGAGACATGGACGTACCCAATGAATTTGGGCAGAAAGCGTGATTATCAGTATAATATCTCTCACCGTGGCCTGTTCCATAATCTTCTCGTTGCTCTACCCACCGGTCTTGGAAAGACCTTCATTGCCGCAACTGTGATGCTCAACTGGTTTCGATGGACGAAAGACGCTCAAATTGTGTTTGTTGCCCCAACTAAGCCGCTAGTTTCGCAGCAAGTCGATGCATGCTTTAATATTGTTGGCATTCCTCGGTCCCAAACCACAATGCTTACAGGCAATGTGCCACCTGGCTTAAGAGCGACGGAATGGCAATCAAAACGCGTTTTTTTCATGACTCCTCAGACTCTTATCAATGATCTTAAGACTGGCATTGCCGACCCAAAGCGAGTCGTGCTTTTGGTGGTAGATGAAGCGCATCGTGCCACAGGTGCCTACGTATACGTTGAGGTTGTCAAGTTTATACAACGGTTTAATACCAGTTTCAGGGTCCTGGCACTAACCGCTACTCCGGGTTCAACTGTGGACACTGTCCAGGAAGTAATCGACGGTTTGAATATTTCGAGAGTCGAAATTCGTACTGAAAATTCCCTGGATATCCGCGAATATGTACATGCTAAAAACGTGGAGACCGTTTCTTTTTCCAACTCTGATGATATGAAACTTTGCATGGAACAATTTTCAAAAGCTTTGAAACCTGTTGTTGAGAAACTTCATAGTTTAAATGCATACTGGGGAGAAGATCCAATGTCTCTCACCCCTTTTGGGCTGACTGAAGCAAGGAAAAAGTGGATGATGTCTCCTGGCGGCAGAAATGCCTCCTGGGGCCTAAAGGGAATGGTAAATTCCATCTTCACAGTCCTGGCTAGCCTGGCTCATGCCACTGAACTTCTCAAATATCATGGTGTTGGGCCATTTTATCGTAACCTGGTATCATTTCGTGATGGCCCCACGGATGGAAGCCAAGGAAAAGGAGGGAAATATGGGAAACAGATCATGGATGACATGAATTTTAAATCCATGATGACTACACTAAGGTCAAAAATGACTGATGAAGATTTCATTGGCCACCCAAAATTGGAATACCTCAAACGTGTGATTTTGAACCACTTTTTGGATGCTGATACCAACAGCCATGGGGCCGACTCGCCAAAGACACGAGTGATGGTGTTTAGCCATTTCCGTGACAGTGCAGAGGAAATTGTCCGAGTGCTTAAAAAACACGCGCCGATAATTCTTCCACATGTTTTTGTAGGTCAGGCAAGTGCTAAAGGCTCCGAAGGCATGGACCAGAAGAAACAACTTGAAATCATAAAGAAGTTTAAAGAGGGAACGTACAACACTATCGTTGCTACTTCTATTGGAGAGGAAGGTCTTGATATTGGAGAAGTTGATCTTATCATATGTTACGATTCTTCGGCATCACCCATTCGTATGTTGCAAAGAATGGGGAGAACTGGAAGAAAGCGTATGGGCAAGGTTGTCCTCCTGCTTATGGAAGGTAAAGAGGAAGAAAAATACTTCAGGGCAAAGGATAATTACGAGAAGATGCAACAAATCATTGCTTCTGGATCTCACTTTGCATTTCATGAGGACAGATCTCCTCGCATTATACCCCGTGATATCCAGCCGCGTGTAGATGAGAAACGCATTGAAATACCCATAGAGAATTCCCAGGCTGAACTACCAGTGCCTACAAAGCGTGGCCGCATACCGAAGAAGCCACCAAAGAAGTTTCATATGCCCGACGGGGTTCAAACAGGATTTACAAATGCCCTAACTCTGACAGGTGTTGATAAGAAACCTAAGAAGCGAAAGGCTTCACCTAAATATCGAGAACCAAGCCCAGAGCTTGCAGAGCTCCCGCCATTGAATGATGTTACCCTTACACCGGATCAGACCCTAGAACTGAGGCGGAACTTCCAGACTGTGGCCGGAACGTCACCGCAGATCATGCGTTTCCCCCGACTTGACGTTTATCCAACTCTCCAAAGGTTTTGTCGGCCAACTGTAGATGTGCCACATGCGAATCTGACCCACCGCCTAACAAAGGCAGTCCGTGAAATGTCGGAATTCGGTTCTGATTGCGGTGAAAAATATGAACACTACCTTCCTCCTAACTTTAATGACTGGAAACCTGACGAGAAAGTGCCCTCACCTATTTCCGATGCTGGTCCTGGTCATGATCAAAATTGTTCTATTGATAAACCAAGTGCTGGTATCATTACTATAATTCCTGGCCAGCAGAACACCGCAGAGCAGGACGGTCAATCTGAACGCGGGCTCTCATTAATGTGTACCCAAGCCTCTGGCTCATTCGGTCTAAAGAACGATAACATATATCCATCTGAGGATAATCCGGATGATGATTTCCCCGACATTGATCAGTTATTCGCAGAATCGTTTGCTCGCAGCGATCCCCTCGCTCAAAAGCCCGCTGCCGAGGCGAAAAGGCATGCAAGGCCTGCTGGGGAGACGAATGAAGATGTTGCCAATATCCTTAGTGACTATAGCGGGTTTTCTAGTGATTTCTAGACACTGGATAACTTGATTCCTAGACCTTGGTATTTAGATAGATTGATGAGAACATGACTTTTGTATAGTATTAAACGATTCAACATTTGATTGTTTACGTCGTGTGGTTGGAATGTCGTTTTGCATCGTGGAAATAGCGCTAGTTTAAGCATTGTAGTCGTCTTTGCCACGCACCTGGCCAGCTAGGTTCGTCATCTTTATTTACTTCCTCCATCTCGAGATCACATCTCCAGACTTCGCACTCCTATGACAACTCGGGACCCAGGGCTCTCTACTTTCTTTTCCCTCCAGAACCATGGCGGATACACAGTTTGATAGCGCTCTGTAAGCCACTTATCCCTTTCCTGCTCTTCAATCTGTCGCTAGGCTCCCCACCCCCGCTTGATGGGAAGGGCATCTCCCACCGCCGTACTTGCCAGGGGATATCAACACAGGACCGTCAAATGTGCAAAGATCTGATATAATGTGCTTGAAAACAGAGACCTTCTTCGCCGTCTATCCCCTCGAAACACAAAAGAGAATTTACATAACATCACTACACTGGTTCCGGACTTGACGGAAGATCTTCTGGCATCCGTCGACCAGCCGCTCGAAGTCCGACGATGCCCCCGATCAAAGCGTGACTACTTGCTTTGCGACTACAATCGCGATGGAGATAGTTACAGAAGCCCATGGAGTAACGAATTCGATCCCCCAATTGAAGACGGAACAGTACCAAGTGAACGAGTGAGAAAACTGGAAATTGAAACGAACAAAGCATTCGATATTTACCGTGACCTTTACTATGATGGCGGAGTCGGGAGCGTTTACTTTTGGGACCTTGATGATGGGTTTGCTGGCGTGGTGTTACTGAAAAAAGGTATTTCATCTTGCCTCGCAAGGTGCTCGTCATAAACTGACTTGTTGCAGGAATCACTCCTGGTTCTAAGAACTCTGGTTCCTGGGATAGTATCCATGTTTTTGAGGCTACTGATCGTGGACGGACGTGTCATTATAAACTGACAAGCACGGTTATCCTCCACTTATCAACTGGCTCGGACACCCTCGGGGAAATGGACCTAAGCGGCAATATGACAAGGCAGATCGAATCCGATATGGCCGTGAATGGCGATGAGAGCCATGTAGCAAACATCGGACGTTTAGTTGAAGATATGGAATTTAAGATGAGGAATTTGCTACGTATGAATTCGCAATCTTTACATTCCTTTGTCAGATCTATAGGCTAACGACATTATTTTCTTAGAGGAGGTTTACTTCGGTAAAGCCAAAGATGTTGTTTCTGAGCTTAGAAGTGAGTATATAACCAGATGGCTGTCCAGGTATTACAATATTGAAATACTAACCTGTTAATCTCAAGGTTTACAACCACTATCTGAGACGAACGAAGAGAAGTCTGCTCACCGCAACGTCATCAATGCAATGATGAAATAAAAATTCAAATACCAGTCCATGGAATTGAACTTTCGATAGCGGAAAGCGCCCTGACCTTGCCATTCCTGTATATAGACACGAAATATATGGTAAATGTTGAACTTGATGATTATAAGATGTTACTTTTGGCGCTGTGACTATTGATATGGTTGGATTATATTCCCATAGCCACAAGGGCCACTTTCTCGAAGGCTCTTGTCATTTTTCTCCTCTGGCTTGAAGCTGGGTAATCTGCACTAGCCACACGCAATCAAAAGCTGCAGTTTCAATCCACCTTTCAGATGATGATCTGCCGCATTGATGTTGGATATGTGACTGGTCTCGATGGAGAGAGATGAGCACGAATGTGGCGGTTAGGTGGGAGTGCATTACCAATAGTCGGCAGGCGCTTCCTTCAAGGCAGTAACAAACTTGCGAGAACTTTCGATCAGAGAGGTTGAATTATTGGGAACCAGTGGGTATTGGGCCTGTTCTTAGAAATATGATATTGGTTAACTGTTAGATATTATCAGTCCACTTCCATAGCCTGTTTCCCATCAGCATCGGCTTGAGCCGCAGAGGGATTGTGGCACCCATTTCCTCCTTTAGAGGCAACACTTTTCATAAAACGGCTAGCTTCTGCCCACAGTTCCGCTTCCTTGTCTTTTCCGACTGTGTCCTTCCGGCTGTTCAACCAGCTTGTTTCAAGAGGATTGACATTTCCTGGCGTCGGCTGCGCAACTGTGCCTGCCCCAGAAACCATGCTATCCCCTGCTTTTAGCGAGATAGTAGGCTCTGCACGTATTATTGAGGCTTCCTCTAGCGCATAGACCTGTCGGCGTAGTTTGACGTCAACTGAGGAAACAAGAGCAAAGTACTGAGAGCAGGCGGCCTTGAATGCCTTTTTACGGGCATCTAGAGTTCCAACTGTAACCGAACTGCCAGTGTCCAGGTCCTCTGGGGCCTGTGACGCGTTGTTGGTGAGAGACTGGATCGCAAGCCCTGCGGACTTGAGTATCTGGGCTACATCCTAGACCATAGATTAGTGATACGCTTATATACAAGACACTCACACATACCTTATCAACCTCATTCAACTCCTTTATTCGATCAGCAGGGCTAAACACTGCCTTCTCAGACGCCATCTTTACTGCCTCACTTTGCGATATTCCTTGTCCTCCCTGCTTCACCATGTTCATTTCACCAACAGCAACGGATGTTGAAACTAACTGCTTACGTAACATCCTCGTGTAGTTACGTCACGTGTTACATGCATCGAACTTCGCGGTCGCAACTTTCTAACCTTCTTTTCTTTTACTACTCAGCTTTCACACTCCACCCTCGCATAGGCATCTTCAATCCATCAACAGGCATCCTCTGTCATGAGCCTCATTCTGGCCTACGAGGAATCGACTACCTGACATTCTGACAATCCAAATTACGACTTTTAATACCCACGTAATATAGGGAAAGGATTGCCTAAAAGATATCAAAACTGAGCAATATGTCAGGTCCTGCTGGAGCACCCAGCCCTGGTCCTAGGAGCGCCAGCACTGGCCCAGGGACTGCAGTTACGATGCCTTCTCAACATCAACAACCTATATCCAGCGGACCTTCCTCTGGCGGTGCCACACCAGCTGTACCCAACAGGCCCGGACCTGTATCCCAGCAGGATTTGAACCAGATTGTAAGTCAGTTTTACACTCATATACCTGGATATGTCTTTTCTTTCATCCTTAGACTTCAGAGATTGCTAGATATTGGCTTTTGGCTTTGTTTTTTTGGTATGCCGCATTTATATTTACATTTATATCCTGGGTGCCTTTGATAAACACTCCAAAGGAGTGTGAAAAAATCCATCTATTTTATAATACTACTTGCCTCAAACCAGGACTATATGTCCACCACCCTTAAACCCATTGGGTGAAGCTAGAACCAGCTTGTGCACTGCATGTTTTAAATATCCTTTAATGACACTGTTTCCCAAGCAAGGGTTTTCCTGTCTTCCCATCAGCCCCAGTTACCGAAAATGGAAAAATATATCCCCGTCCCCGTCTATCAATATCACTCCCTGCCCTCCCACTGTTTGTCCTTCATCATCACACATATCCTCCTGCTTGGGGGGTATCTTTTTTGCCCTATTATCCACAACCTTTGCAGCTGCCATATTTTGATTGGCATTGTCAAACAATTTTCAAGAGACAATGGGGGATGAGTGTCCCATTGGATGGGAGCCAGCACCTGGCTGGAATCCTAAATCAGACGGATCATCTCCCCCAGGGGATGAAACATCCTCTTTCGTCACTGACATTGTGGGTGGTCTATCAAAATGTTTGGCAGTTTGTATATGTTTTGGCTTTGGCGTATGCTTGTTATTTGTTATCTTATAAGGGCTTGCTTGACCCAAATCAGCCTGAACGCGATATATATGTCTTGTTACCTGGAATTGATTCTAATGACCTCTTAACTTATAGGTTATCGACTATTTGGCAAAAAAGGGTTATAATCGAACCGAAGCCATTTTCCGAATGGAATCATCGAACCAAGAAATTGATGGGCGCCCTTTGTTACCAGTCTCGACTGATACTCACCCGAAATTCAGGGCTGCCTTTGGTTTGTTGTCACCATCATTATATGAATGTATGCTGAGATGAGACTAACTTGCTGGCCACTCGTAGAAATGACAAAGCTATGGGTTGAAGACAATTTGGAGATCTACAAGGTACTGTTTCCCTTGATCACTAGGGCAAACGTTCTTCTAACTGTCATTTTATCCTTCTAGCCCGAACTTAGACGCGTTCTTTGGCCTCTTTTTGTCTACTCTTATTTGAACCTCATCAGAGCTATGACTCCGTTAGAAGGCCGCCAATTTTTTGAAGCAAACAAAAACCTGTTTCTTCCGGAGCACACGGATGATATTCGTGCATTGCAGACCCTCGGCCTTCCTGAGCATGTTCAGGACAACAATATTGCTAAGCTATACCTCGACAACAAGTACCGGCTTACCCTGAGTAACCCTGCTTTCTCGAATCTTATGCAGTTTCTCGAGACTAAGCATAAGGAGGGTGGAACTGTTATGTCGGCATTGTTGAGTAGTTACTGCACCATCATCACCAAGGACCGCGCTTCCGATGACCGATTCAGTTTTGGTGCAATGCTCGCCAGAGGCAAAAATTCAGCCGGTGTACCCGCTGAAGATGAAGGAATTCCCGGTCATCATCCCGGTTCTGCCTATACAGGTGACAATCCTGGAATTGCTGGAGCCCTTCCACGGCTCAAACTTGGACAGCTACCCCCAGAGGCCACCTTGGAAGGGGACGTTCGCGGAGAACTAGAAGAGGAGGATTCCAAGGAGGACCTTGGGCCGGGAAAAGTAACACTTGTCCAGCATTTTGACCAGATGATTAAGAAAGAAGAAGATCTTGACGCTCCTTCTCGCTCAGAAATCCCATATCCTCCTTCTACTGCACGAGATGTGGCTATGGAAGTTCAGAAAGTAAAAGAAAACCGTGACAGGTTCAAAATCGATGGACGCAGCGGAGGTGTTGCCCCTGGAGTTAGTGTCTGCATGTTTACTTTCCACAATGCAAACCAAGGGTATGTATCGGAGCTCAAGGATTAGGGTGGCATATCTGAGCTAATTAAGCATACTCCTCGTTTAGAATTACGTGCATGGATTTTTCTGGAGACAACAATCTTGTAGCCGCCGGTATGCAAGATTCCTATATCCGTGTTTGGAGCCTGGACGGACGTCCCATTCCTCCCACATACCCCGATGCGGACGACCCCACTCCCAAAAACTCGCACAGATTGTATGGTCATTCTGGCCCAGTTTATGCTGTGTCGTTTGCTCCGTCCATAGCAAGCCCAGATGATGCGGAGGTGAAAACCAATGCTCGTTGGCTTCTTTCCTCATCCGCTGATCAAACTATCCGTCTTTGGTCCCTTGACCTTTGGAGGTGTATCGTTGTGTACAAAGGCCATGCTGGGCCTGTCTGGAGCCTGTCATGGGGACCTTTTGGACACTATTTCGTCTCCGGTGGTCATGACAAAACTGCAAGGCTTTGGGTTACCAACAAAATTCGACAGCAACGTATCTTTGTCGGACACGATCAAGATGTTGATTGCGTGTGTTTCCACCCAAATTCCGCTTACGTATTTACCGCAAGCTCTGACCATACCGTTCGCATGTGGTCTGTAAGCACGGGAAATGCTGTTCGTATGTTTACCGGCCACACTGGAAACATTACCGCCGTGTCATGCAGCAACGATGGACGGCTCCTTGCTTCTGCTGATGACCATGGGACTATCATTCTCTGGGATCTTGCCCCTGGAAAGCTTCTTAAGCGCATGCGTGGCCATGCAAAGGGTGGTATCTGGGCTTTGTCTTGGAGCGCTGAATCCAATGTCCTTGTTTCTGGCGGTGCAGACGGCACAGTCCGTGTTTGGGATGTCGCGGGACCCCCTAGCGAAGCCTCTACTGGGCAAGGCCGCGTTCTCACGGAGTCAGGGGGTGGAACCAAGATTGATGCCTCCAATTCGACAAGCGCAGCACCCAATCAATCGGCGGCGGCGGCAGCATCTGTGGCAGGAGCGCCAAAATCCGGCACAGCCAAGGGTAGTTCGACTAAGAAGAAAAAAGGGAAGGATGCAGTTGTTACGGCAGATCAGATCAGCGCATTTCCAACCAAGAAAACCCCTGTTTTCAATGTTACTTTTACCAGAATGAATCTAGTCATTGCCGGAGGAGCATATACGCCCTGAAATGGCTTACCGCCGACAATATCCTACTCTTTCTAAGATGTTCAAGGGAGGCGTTCTGATTCAATACTGGCGTTCAGGTAGAGCAGGAGGTCCAAAGCAGGGGCGCTGGTATCAGTTGCGGTTAGGTTTACTGGCAGCATTAGCTAATTTCCCTGTGTTGATGGTCTTCCTTTGCTGATGCAAATTGGAGGCATGTTTAAACTGATTAATACAATGTAATTCATATGATGAAATGGACCAATGAATTGTCTCATATCTTCTATTAAATTATATGTAGTATTTATATACCACACACGGTTCTCAGCCCATACAAGCAAACAGGAGCGGGCTGGCCCATGGCCTGCAATTGAAATATCATTTTTTAAGCCCCCATTTTTGCGTGCTCTGCTTAGATGCTAACATGTCGCTCACTTTGGGAGGGAGGACAAGGGCGCTTCTGTCATTACGTTTATAAAAATCAACTAAGACTTGTGCAGTTTTAACAGGTTGATCTTCATGGATAAAATGGCCAGCCTCCGGAAAAACTTGAAGTTGATATTTCCCTGTCATGTCAAAGAATCAGTTTACCCAGTAGCTTTTAAGAAAGTCAACGGTTGAAGACGTGAACTGCATACCTTGCATTTGCCCAATAATCAACTCTTTATCCAGCCTATCAGTTCCAGCCAAAAGGAGCAGTTTACCTCCCCGAGCCTCTAAGAATTTCTTGCTGAGACCAGTGAACCAATTTTCCCAAAAAGGCTTCGTCCTAGCAAGATCAGTACGCCATTTCCAAATTCCAGCCGAGTTGGGGTCTGTCGAAGGTTCTTCGCGGAGAAGGCCTTGGACTGATACTCGCGCAGACGCTGTGTTGCGTATAGTCCGGGATCGGGTGCTAGGTTAAAGTAAGAATTTGTGTGTGATTTAACAAGAGAACAGCTCGGACGGTGAGATACATACTGCCATTCGATTCCAGATGCTAGGGATGGGAAACTAGATGGTCTTGTAGAAAGGTATGTTTCCATACTTTGGAGTGCATCAATTGCAGATCCTGAATCGCCATGGCCAAAAGGACGTATTAGCTGCTTAAATTTCAAGCGAAAAATCTTGAACCTCTATTATCGCACCTTCTACGACGTCTAGCACGGCATAGGCTAAAACATTTGAGCCTAGGTCACCATTTCTCGCAACATGGGTAACTACAGCGCCTCCAAGACTGTGTCCAACGAGAACAAGCGGTGGAATAGAGTCCCATTTCAATTTTTCTTTGGTTTTATTAACAATGTAAACAAGATCACGACTTAAAGTTTCCAGGGTTAGATCTTGTTCATGTTTCTGCGAATCGTCGGTAGCCTGATTTGTAAGTCCGTGGTTTCTGGCATCTAATGACAAAACACCAGCCGTTGGTAGGGCTCGCCTAATTTCGGCAGCACAAGCGGCAAATGATAGACCAGATGAGCCTGCTCCGTGATGAGTGACAAACAGGGGGCCAGATTTGGAAGGGGAAGTAAAGTAGACGTGGTGACTTATATGGAGGCCATCGATATCATCTTCAATAAAAAGCTCTGTTTCGAAGAAGTCATTCCATGGAGAAGCAACAATATTCGACCTTGACCGTGCCCTTTAACTGAACTGTTAGAACCAAGGAAAATCTAACAAGACTAACAGGGTATATGTTTTAGGCATTAATGTGTATACCGAGTGATATATAACAATTGAATATATACAAACACATGCGGTAACACACACGAAGAGAGGAGACAAGTATAACGTACCCAGGCCCGCGCTCAAACATTTTTTGGCTCTGAGAGGGTACTATCGTCCCTGTGGAAGAAGCAGAAGATGCTGACGATGAGTCGTCCTCAAGGTGTTCACTATATACCTCAGACCCTGTCCGGCTTTCACTGATATCATCAAACACTGGCACTTCAGGCGGCAACTTCGCAAGCCGTGATTTGGCAAAAGACTTTTGGAGGTCGCTCATGGTATCTTAATTATGTTCAAATGGGAGGGTGGGGGGTATCTGAAGAAGCAGCTGGGCAGGTATCACAGCCGCGCCGTTGGTGGGACAAAGGGACAGCGGATAGCTCTTCTTTCTTCAAAAAGATCTTAAATCATAGTATCAGGTCGTTAGACTGTCTATTCAACTTGATTGCTTGGTCATTTTTCATCTTGCTGGGTTTCAGATTTGAGATGTGATGTTGCTCCAACTTGCTTCGTAATTTGGTATGTAATTTACATGCTTTTGATACGGCTAGTCTTAAACAGGTATATAATATCACGTGATAAAAATTTTTATGACGTCACCGGCTTCCTGTGATATTCTTCCAAGCTGACGGGGACGACGGAGAGTCTCTTCCTTCGCCACAGGAGAAAGCAAGTAATATGCTATCCCAAACCAAGGCTACATATTGGTTGACTTATATGTGTTTATTATGGCTAGGATTAATATCATGAAGTCAATCCTGTATGACCTGGGCCTAGGCAGTGGTATAAATAGTGGACACAGCTCCTCTGCCAACTTGCTGCCAGCTTTGCTCACCTTCTTGATACTCCCACAGAGTTCCTTATCGTTTTGGGCGAACAGGAAACCAACGACACTTGGACAGCTCTCTAGATCTGTCCACCCAATTACTTTATATTCACTGGGATAAAGTTATATGTGCTAAAAAGACTGTAAGGATGTCACCCCTTTGGGGTTTACGGCACAATGCCCGAGAGGAAGGCCGGGATGGTGAGGATGAGGAACAATATACCGGCGAGGCAGGCAGGCCTGATAATAGAAGAAGAGCTCATGATGTGGATGAAAGGACACGGCTCTTACCAGCTGAAGGAAATGGATACCTCCACCCTGATGATCCTGCAGTAAGTCATATAAGACAACTTGGCATGGACATTGAAAATCTGTCTGGCTAACCCCTTTATTTCTGCGCTTTCAATTCAGGTATCGCCATATAATCTATGGAGTGTTCGGGCCCTAAGAGGGGTCACCTTGACGGTGTTATTTATATCACTTCTTTGGTGGATTCTGCTGCTCGTATCGATCTTCGTCAGCCCTCCTGGTATGAGTAATCGGGGATCAGGCTTCTTTGATTTCTCATTCACCACCTTGACGATATCAAACTTGCTTATTGCATTGATATTCTTTACCATCCCATCTACGCCTATGACGATATGGGCTACCACTTTATCCATCCTGTTGAGTGTCAGCCTGTTTCTCGCACTTGGAGTTCCGCGTCTTCGCGTTGAAGAAGGCTGGGTGGGTATTGCATCGGTGGCGTGGGCAGTCCTCATTTCCCTCTACCTGGTAGCTCAAACCCGGTTGGTGGCTCAGGGTAAGAGGCAAGAAGAAGAGCGACTCACTGGCCGCGAGGAGACCCGCCGATCACTCGGAGAATGGCTGGCTATTCTCGTTCAAGTGGTCGTTATGGCTATTACTGTGCTTGTTGGCATCTTGCTCATGTCCACGTTGAGTCTGCGCGCAAAGGATGCTACTCTAGAGGCACCGGGACAGAGGTATTATGTCGATAGCAACAAGTACCAAGTTCATCTTCACTGCATTGGGGACCATTCGACTTCACGGAGTAGCAACGAGACTACCGTTACTGTCCTCCTTGAAGGAGGCGAGGCACCGGTGGAATATACATTCCAAAAATGGGTCGACGAAGCCTACCAGCACGGCGTGATCAAACGATACTGCTACTGGGACCGTCCGGGTATCGCTTGGTCAGACAATGCACCGTCCCCTCACTCGGCAGGAATGTCGGCAGATGCCCTTTCAGAGGCACTGGCAATGGCTGATGAAGAGGGTCCCTGGGTTGTAGTGTCGGCCGGCGTCGGTGGTATCTACAGCCGCATTTTTGCCAGTCGTCACCTTCGCGACATCCACGGTATTATGCTTGTCGACACTCTCCACGAAGATTTGCTTCATAGCCTGGGCAAGCCAAGCCGGGGACTGATGCTCTGGGTCTGGGGTATATTGTCTCCACTTGGCATAGACAGACTGGCTGGTGCAATCTTCAAGGGCCGGACTCGAGTAGACCGAGTCTGTGGTATGCGAGCCTACCAGGGAGGAAAGTTCATCAAGGCCGAGCTCCAGGAGAGCCTTGTTGCCGATTCTATCACCCGTAGCGAGATTTCGAGCGCACGAAACATCCAGGGCCAATCCACCCCTCTGGTAGTCGTCAGTTCAGGCAGAGAGGTGAGACGAAGCCAGACCTGGGCTGATAAGCAAGAAGATTTAACCAAGATCACGAATAATCTTGTTGCGTGGGACGTTGTCAAGGGAGCACCGCATGAGGTTTGGGATACCCTTGACGGACGAAGGACACTGGAGAAACGGCTAGGAGAATTGGTGAACCAGGCTAAACATTGAAAGCCCTTGACTCTCTCGGTTCTCTTTGAATTCCGTATGTGCCATGTTTTTAATCATCCCCTTTTTTCGGAGCCATTCTCTCGACTCATTGACTCTTCCTGTCTTGACAAATTGTATACGCCTTGTGGAAGCTCTTCCCCCCCCCACCTCTTCTCGGAAAATTTGTATGATTCCATTCCATCTTCATAGCCTAGTTCGACTAAATGTTAACTGTCGTCAAATCATTGCAGGCAGTGGCATGATATATATAAATATAAACCTGAACAGAACGTCCATGATTCCAAAAAAAGCCGAAGCCTCCGAAGATACGAAGGATGCAACCTTAAACTTGCCGAACTTCATCCGGCCAGAACGATGAATAACACTCAACACTACTTAAGACTAGCGCTGGCCGGCTAAGGAATCGGCCTGCTTCCCCGTAATAATAGCATGGAATCTTTTACAGCCTTAGATTTGTCATCCCGCCGATGGCGTAAGATGCCGCCATAGCTTGGCTTCTGCTGGACTCTAGACTAAGTATGCGTCCCTAGGTATTTATTCAACGGGCGTCCTCAGCAGTGGAAGTGTTGAAAGAGCTGAAAAGACTAGTTATTGATTTCAGACTTGCCAGCCAGAAGTGAAGGGCGAAGATTCTCGCTGCTGCCATTGTCTGCCCTCCCAGATTCGCTGCTCTTCCATTCGTTTCTTTTTTTTTTTTTTCAACTGGTTACTTATCTGTGAAAACCTGCCCCTGTCAAGATCTCAACCGCCAAGCGAGGCAAAACGGCGATCAAACAGCAAAGATCAAAATATCTTAAATATCTTCCGGGGACCGGCCGGCCAGCTAGGCAGTTATTAGAGAAAAACCACTTCCCACCCCCGAGTTGATGGCCTTTTCCCCAATATCCTTCCAACGATACTTACTACGATTATTGAGGCCTCTCTCTCTCAGCTCTGTCAAAATGACTGTTCTTCCCGAGTCCCTTGTTGGTGGGTTGGCTGCAAAGCAGCAGGGTATTCCTCCACATGCCCAGAAGGCCACCTTTGCAGCTGGCTGTTTCTGGGGGGTTGAGCACATATACCGTCGACGGTTTGGGAACGGGAAGGGTCTATTAGATGCCTCTGTTGGCTACTGTGGTGGGAAATCCAAGCTACCAACCTACCATCAAGTCTGTACGGGACAGACCGGCCGTAAGTTTATCATACGTCCTTTTCCGGTCTTTTGTTGGGAGCAGTTTGATCGCTACAACTACACGGTTAATGTTCGGGATACGATGGCTAACGTTTACTCTCTTGCTTCCCTTTGCATTGAAACAGATGCCGAAGCCATTGAGGTGATATATGACCCGACAATCGTCTCCTATCAGCAGCTTGTCGAATTCTTCTATTCCATGCATGATCCAACCACCAAGGACAGACAAGGTGGTGATACTGGCACTCAGTACCGAAGTGCCGTATTTGCTCATAATGACGAACAATTGAAGATCGCAAAGGGCATAACGGACCAGGTGGCTAGGCGGTGGTGGAAGGCCCCCATCACCACCGAGCTCAACCCTCCAGATCAGTGGCAGTGGTGGACTGCTGAGAAATACCATCAACTGTATCTGGAGAAGAACCCTACCGGATACGTGTGCCCAGCTCAGTAAGTCATTTCTCTACCTGCTTAATATCCTATAATACTACACTTACTGACCATTGCCGTTCATCACACTCTAGCTTCGTACGGGACTTTCCCCCTCTGGTTTCCGCGTGAGCTGAAATCCGAGAAGATACCCATTAATGAACAATAATGAGAAGCAATATCCCTTTTTTCATCATGATATACCCAAGGAGAATTCAACGTCTCCTTCATTTATTCTGTTTTTCTGTGCGCTGGCAGTGGTAGTTCCATTTTCAACCTCATAATACCACGGAACAGGACCTGAGCCAACTATCGAATGTTTTCTTACTTTTCTTTCTTTCCTTTCTATTTGCTTTCTGTCGAAGCCTCGGGCGGCGTCTTTTTGATTTTTCAATTTTCGTGCATAATTGAGATATGAACTTCCGGGAACAAGTGTCCGCAAGCTGATGCAACATCTACTTGCTTGATAAACACCGCATATCTTCCGGGGCCAGTCTTTCTATTAGTGATACGTTAGTAGCATATTAGAATCACTAAAAATTAGATCTCCTCGTTGAACAAGCACTTCGGCGACTCTCTAATTAACAGTCTAGTCTATTAAGCTGCACGCTATTAAAATCTAGATACATATCTTGTATACCTTTACTCCGCACGGAGCCTCGTATGAACCGTATCCGTGGGCAAATAGCTGTCAGCCCAAAGAAAGTCACCATAAAGTAGATGTAACAACAGCTGGGGACACGCAGCTTCTCCTCATGCATTGACCAATCGTAGCCAGCGACCGTTTCAGGAGAAAATATCCCTGGGAATGCAGGAGTCATGCAGCGGTCACCGAGACAGCGCAGGGTGTGTGCAGGCGACCAACTACGAGGGCCGATATCGATCTGGCTCCTGCGTCCCGGGAGAATCAGAGGTCAGCTGGTGCCTCTTTGGCTTCGTCCAGGCCGTACTAACCGTGGTTCATCCACACTTTGGCGTCTCGATGTACCAGACATAGCGTCATGAAGGCAACAAAACGGGCCCCTTTTTATAGTTAACCGTCTTCCTTGCTGGGGATAACTAGTTAACTAGCTTGGTCGGTTGAACCATGTCTCCGCATCGTCATCACCACAGAAAAGTGTGGAGCAGCATGGGGTGGACAGGTAGGATGCCTGGTCGTATCCTTGTCTTGCCTTACCAAGCTCTTGTGTTACTCGCTGACGCCTGCCATCCGATGGGCGAAGCTTCGTCATGTAGAATGTACATGAAGGGGAGATATGACTATACTCTTCCAGTCCTTTCCGGGACTATCCTGCCTATCGGCTTGTGTCTTGAGCTCGCTTCTTGTGAGTTGCGCTTGGATGACGGCCTTGTTTTTGATAATTCGTGAGCAATGGCTGGCTGGCTATGTGGGCAATGTGACGCTCCTTGCGCAAAACAGCTAAGAGATGCATCGCATCTAGCTGGTCAGACGGGGCTTATGGCTTGCAGTTACTATATAATATGCTATAGTATCTCCCGTATTTGCCATGTTGTTACAGTTACTTCCCATATACTTGACCTACTGTATTTGGAAGAGCAAGTGGCGGATTGAAACTAGTTATAACTATTCCTACTACGTTGTTGATCTTCTTTCACATCTTCACAAGCTACTCCTTCGGCCATCACATCTGTTTTGTCGATAGGGAGTTACGCTGGTTGCCATATTCATCTGAGATACCCTACACCGAAGGATGGCCTCCGTAGGAGGGATTCCAACTGTCAACATTGTATGGACTACGAAGCAACACCTATATTTCCACCCTCGCGCTGCACGTCTTATCATCGGCAGTAAATGCCGTCCTGCCCATCAAATCTTCAACTGGGCCAGATACCATCATGGCGAGAAACACATAGGAGGCCATAGGGACAAATTGCCCTCGCCGCCTACCTCAACGGCCCTGGCTACGCCTGGGAGACAGCGGACAGCGGCATCTCTCTTCCAGCCAACAAGCCCACCCCTCTCAAGCTTCTCCTCCTCTCCATGCCAGACTGCGGCACCCCCTTTGTCCATGCTGTCTATATCTTCAATCACTCGTTCTCTGCTCACAACTGCAATGTCCTCTTCCCCTGTTCTCCTTAAAGCTGCAATGAAAGTCCTATCGTTCATAGCAGACTCAAAGTCACCCCTATTGAACCCGGATCGCAATTTGATATTGAACTATCTCCTGCGCAAGACCATTTATACCCAGTTCTGCGCCGGCGAGAAACCACATGAAGTCCAACGTTGTATTGATGAAATCAGGAGAGCCGGGTTTTCAGGTGTCATTCTGGGATATGCTAGGGAGGGCGTCCCCGATGAGAATGAGACCGCTGCAATTCTTGAATTGGATAGCAAGTGTTCCAATTCAGCAGAAAGTAATAAGAAGGTCGCGGAATATGAGGTCAGCGCCTGGCGAGAGGGGAACCTTCATACGATCGATCTGGCGGGCGAAGGGGGCTTCGTCAACCTCAAATTCACAGGAGCAGGAAGCGAAGCAATAAAATACCTGCTACGCGGTGTTCCTCCACCACCACTACTCCATGAAGCCATCAATGAAATTTGTGAAAGAGCAATGGCTCGGAACGTTCGCTTGTTGATCGACGCAGAACACCAGGCTGTTCAACCGGCTATTGATGCCTGGGCCCTCGATTTACAACGAAAGTACAACATTCGAAGCGACAGTACTGCAGGAGAAAGAGCTGTGGTATACAACACATACCAGGCATATCTCCGATCAACGCCGAAGACTCTATCCCAACACATGGCTATGGCACAGGACGAAGGGTTCGTCTTGGGCGTGAAACTGGTCCGAGGAGCATATTTGGGGGTTGAACCCAGACATTTCATCTGGGACCTCAAGGAAGAAACAGATACGGCTTATGATGGCCTGGCTGATGCATTAATAAGGAGAGAGTACAATGATGTACTGACTCCATACGTCTCGACCGCCGCGCCAGAGTCTCCCACCTCACCCCCCGTAACAGAGCCGGAATCCATGCCAAAACCGACCTTTCCAGAAGTTGACCTGCTGGTTGCTTCGCATAATCGGTACTCGATCAAGAAGGCACAGGATATCAGGAACGAACAAAGCTATATAGGTCAGCCACAGATTGGACTCATGTATGGCCAGATATATGGGATGGCCGATGAGCTTAGCTGTGAGCTCATCCACAGAGGCAAGATCTGCCATGAGGACGAAATTGTTGACACTTCCATGCTAGTGAAACCAATGGTTTACAAAGCAGTTGTCTGGGGTTCGGTCCGAGAATGTATGAGGTATCTTGTCCGTCGAGGCCAGGAGAACATGGACGCAGCTTCGAGGACACTGGATACCAGACGAGCGATGGCAAAGGAACTAAGAAGGAGGATATTTGGAACCCGGTTTTAACCATGTCATGTGAGCTCGACTCATGCCCTTTTGTCAATGAATTGTTTATTGAGCACTTTTTATGCGGATATCCTAGCAAATTTGAAGCATCTCTTTTTTGCATGTGTTTCTTCCCTTTCGCGGTTATGGCCCTTTTAGCAGTCGGTTAGTTAATATGAGCTACTATCAAACTCTACTTTCCATAGTCCTTGCTGTATCAGTAAATCCGTTGGCTAGGTCATGAGAAGCGGTAGTTGGTATAGACTTCTGAGCTACATTCTAGCTGACTTTCCCACCTCATACTAAAGTGTTTTTGACTCAGATAATATTGTGTTAACTTAGTGGTCTAAAGATTAGATTTTACCAAATATATCAGTCGATGCGCATGCTTTATTAAGCGTGGCCAAAAGGTTCCCTATCTAAGCTCAAGCCAGAATACCTTTATAGTATATTTCAATGTTTTTTCAAGGGTAGGGAGGAAGGAGGCGCTGGATATTGCAAAACAAGTTAGAGAAAAGATCTGCTAACTACTCGTTTGTTTGAAATAGTAGAGATCTAATCTCGGTATAGGGGATATGATGCGAAAGTGCCAGTGTATCACTTACTAGGTAGACTACCATTGTTCCAGGCCCTAGGTGGGCAATAGAGGATAAACAAAGGTTGGCCCCAGTTATCTTCCTGTTATGCAGCCACACTCTATAAAAGCAAGCCGTGGTACCGGGTAGACAGACCCCCATAAGGTATACTCCATGTAGCAAAATTGGTGGCCCAAAAACGGACTATAAATATTTAGCCCGATATAACAGGTTAGTTAACTAGTTAGACAATCGAGTCTTTTGATTGGTTCATACGTGGTTAAGTCTAGACATCTGTAATTGTATTTACTTGAATTGTGATGTATAACAATGATATGGAGGAAGTATAAACTCTCATATAAAGGCACGATGATCTGAGCTGTTTTCTGCAGTATGCAGATCTACCTAAAAGTTTATGCCTATTATTTACTTTATAACCATAATTATTTAAGCTTGTCGCGCCGCTTAGTACATTGCCTTTCACACAGTATAGTTGTTATGGCCCTGAGCCCTGCTCAAATATTGTGGCTGATTTAAATACGATGGAGGGGTAGAGAAAAGACAAACTTTGATGCGTTCAGAGCGTACATCAGCTTAATTCAGATCTCGCTTGCGCTCCTTGCTGAGACTCTCTAAAGTAGGATCGTCATATCGTTGAATAAGTATCAGAAGCACAAATCACAATGGCCGATACTCAGGATAAATATGTTTTCGGTAGAGACAAGCAGGAATCGAAAAGGTAGGGGGGAAACACTCCTCGAAAGCAGTGGGAGAATACATAATGATGAGTGTGATTCAACCTTTTAGGCTCAATTCGCAGCACAACCTGCTATTGAAGGTGACCGATAACACCCTGATCCATCCGTCAATTCCCCAAGAAAGTGTGCATTCTGTTGCAGATGTAGGGACTGGAACTGGGTAAGTCTGTTGTTGACTTTTCGCGAGGCTAGAAGGTTAATCAGTGCATTCTTGACAAGTATCTGGCTGAGAGATGTTTCCAAACTCTTGGAGACAACCAACCCCAAGTGTTACTATCATGCGTTTGATATCTCGGCGGACCAATTTCCTGAGCAGCCAGGAAATATCCAATTTGAGGTCCAAGATATAACATTGCCGTTCTCCAAAGAACATTGGCATCGTTATGACGTGGTCCATGTGAGACTACTTGTTGCTGCTCTCGAGGAAGTCGACTATAAAGCTGCAGTCACCAATCTCTCTGCTATCTTGAGTATGTGTTCCCCCAAATATGTCTGCAATCTCTGCCGTGCTAGCACTGACCCACTTGGTTTCAATCATAAAGAGCCGGGCGGCTTTCTTCAATGGGAAGAAATCGACGAGGAATCATACAAATCAGCCGACAACCCGGTCATTTGGGAGATTCAACGTTGTTTCAGTCTTGCATTGAAAGCTGAGGGTAAATGTTTCGCTGCATCAGCCAAGGTCTACGAGGAGTGCAAGGCAGCTGGTTTCCTGGATGTTGTGCGGTTAGCTTACCGCTCAGACTCGAAACCCGATATTCGCCACGACGTAGACAAAAGGCTCGCTGATATTATGGGATCTTTGTATGCAAGACTTTTGCTGCGTTCTGGGCAGGCTGCTGATGAAGACGCAGCATCGAAACAGGCTGAGGAATTGGTCAAACAGCATTGGAGTCTTTGTGCGGAGGGAAAGTCCCCACCACTCACCGTGATGAGAGTTGTTGCCCAGAAGCCACTGGATGAATAGTTCATGTCTATAATAATGGTATTTTGGGTTGGCCATCAATAGATATTTCATTAAGGTAGAAAATGTCAGCCAGTTCTGCGGCCTGATCTAATGACCACATAAAGTAGAGCCATCTCTTAAATATTCTGGATCAGATCTCTTGAGAAACACAATAAACATATCTCCATTTCTCTTTGAGTGCTTGAAGTTAGGATGGACGGAAGAGTGGTAGTTAATAGACAAATAATAATGTTCTTGTGCTCAATGAGGAAATGATCTTTATAAATATTCAGATAAGTAACTAGTTACCTAGGTTAATGAAAGAACAGGAGGTAGAAATGCATATAGAAAACAAAGCTATGAAAGGAATTCAGCTCAACCAGTCGAGAAAGTCTGGAGTGAAATAGCTGAGGATGGCGTCGGCACCAGCGCGGACGATAACCTCTGTCGTTTCAAAAGCAATGGTCTTCAGGTCAAAGACACCAGCACTCGCAGCTGCGTGGAGCATGGCGTATTCGCCCGATACCTGCATGGCAGCAACTGGCACATTAGCTATGCCCTTTGCATCGCTGATGATATCTGCATAAGCTGGCTTGACGATGATCATATCCGCGCCTTCATGCATGTCGCGGAGCATGACCCTGTGCGCGAGCTTGCGTGCGGGAGGCGGCAAGAGATAGCGCTTGTGCTCGTCGGTGACGAGGTTGGATTTGATGGCCTCGCGGAAAGGTCCATAGAGACAGCTGGCATACTTTGCAGAATACGACATAATCGCGACCTTACCTTCGAGCCGGGCTTCGAGGAGCTTGAGCTTGATTGCGCGGATCCGTCCATCACTCATATCCGATGGAGCGACGCAATGGGCGCCGGCACGAGCGAATGATAGCGCCATATCGGAGACACGCGTGACCGTTGCCTCGTTATCGACTGAGCCGTCTTCAAGCAGGACGGAGCTATGCCCGTGGTCTGTGTACTCGCAGAGGCTTACATCTGCGATAACATATAGGTCCGGAAAGGCCTGACGGATAATGGGGATTGCAGGCCTGATGGGCCCACTCTCGCTATCAGCCATGGAGCCGACATTGTCTTTTATGTGGGTGCTGAGCAGTGTGCCGAACAATATAACCGCGTGAAGGCCCTTCGCGACTAAAGTGGATAGGAAGGGCAGCAGCTTGTTTAACCCTCGGATGTACTGGTTGGGGATACCCGAAATAGGCTCTTCCATCTCTGGATCGGCGGACAAGAAAATTGGGTATATAAACATGGACTGCGGGCTTTGTTTAGCTCATGCCTCGATGGTAATAGAGATCTAGTGCGCGGTATGTACTTACCTTATGCAGTTGCCGTTCGGCTTGCCAAATAGCGGACACCGTGTGGTTGTAGCCGCTCTTGAGCTGGCTAGAGATCTGGGCGGTGCCATCTTGAGCCCATTGGTTACTGGCAGAGGCAGAGGCAGTCTGGTTTACTGGTAGGGGACCTGGTGTTGTCATGGCTGTGACTGATAAGTTGCGGGTTCTTCACGGATTATGCTAAATAACGCAACTTGGATACGCGGGGCACTACTTTATATCGACAGAATTGCCACTCAGTGTCGGGCATCGATTAAACAGCGTCGACCTTACTCTACGTCGAGCCAGGGTCTTCGCTGAACAACGAAAGAGTCCAATGGTTTACGTTTATCTCTGTGCTGGGAGATGCACGGAACGGAACCGGAACGCTAAATTTTATATACATGACAAATGCACAGCTGGTACAGAGTATTTTACTGTACTACTAGAGTTTTTTTAAAGCCTCGATTAAATTAACATATGTAGGTAGTGATAGGCCAGAATAATTGCGCCTGAAGTTCTTGTGCTCGTATTTGCTACAATCGTCAAACTAGGATATGGCTGCTGCTTTACATGCAAGGCAGTTTACCTTACATATATTTTTCGAGGGACATGGGTAAAGCCAAATGGCCCTTTGCTAGCTATTATACTTGGCTACCCTGAAGATTTCGAGTATATAGTTATGCTTTATGCAGGCTCAAATACTATACCTTAGCGGCAGGCAAACTTTATGCATAATAAGAACAGTTTGCTGCACAGTCGCTAATCGATAGGACGAGACTTCTGTGGTAAAAAGTATAGATCTGAGGTAGTAATCGTAAGGAAATACTTCGTAGGCCTAGAAGTATATAATCCTGTCAAGCTCCGCATGTCAGCCAGATAACTATAGGAATCGGGCATGTTCGGATTTAAGAAGTGCGGTTAAGGTTGGCCCCAAACAGCGGTTCTTCCCGTTCAATTAAAACAGTTTTATATAGCTCGCTTTCCTGACAATGACATAGACAGCCAAAGAATATGATCTCGGCGCGTCAACAGTAGGAGTTCTTGAAGAAATGTCTATCAAACTCCCAAGCTGGCAGACGGGCCTAAGTTTCCTCCTAGGTGCGAGTGCCGCCTCGCTCCTAAGAAGGAACTCGCATTGAGCAGGTGATCCTTACTCATGATTGTAAGTGGATACAGAAGTTGATTGAATCGCGGTTGTATTATTACTGTTCGACAGTGGGCGAACCGTAACTATTGTTTGACGGTAATCGTATTGAGTTTTACGGTTAGCTCACTACTATGGGTGCCTTTCAATAAATTCAGTCAACTGTACGCCCTTACCACTCGCTCAAACAGGCTATCGAGGAACAACTTTGTGGTCCCAGGAAGAATGTTTTTGGTCTCTAAAAGGGCTTTTCGGCGAGCATCAAAAACAGCCGCGGATATCGTTTCGAGACGCATTTCCATCTATTGCCAAGGTGCACTTGAAAGGTGAACCAATACCCTGTGTGTCCTCAAGCTTTCTGACTTCCTATTCAAGGAAAACCTATCTCCCAGAACGAGCTCTTTGCATATACCAATGGTCGCTTTCTGGTCAATGAGAAACATGAGTTCGCCAAGCGCTACCTTTAATTCGATGTCGACCAGCTTTGCAAAATTGTGTCTGCTCTGCCTCACGTCTTGTCTCCCGTATCCAGAATCGATAAGATGGAAGGCGGTTTCAACAAAGCTCTCCTCTTAACTATGGATAATGGAGTAGAAGTGATTGCCAAGTTGCCGTGCCCAAATGCTGGCCCGCTGAAACACAACACAGCATCCGAAGTTGCTGTCTTGGAGTTTGGTAAGTAACAATCGCTCTTTTCATCCCCATATCACTTCCGGACTAGTTAACTAACGTCCTTATGCCAGTGAGAAACTTCACTTCAGTTCCCGTTCCCAAGGTGTTGGCATGGAACTCAGATTCCAACAATCCTGTGGGCGCCGTATATATCATTCAGGAAAGATGTAGCGGCAAACAGCTCGTGGATGTTTGGGACGACATGAACGAGCCAACTAAGTTCAAACTTATTCAGAGTCTAAGTCAACTCGAAGGAGAACTTTCTTCAATCAAATTTCCGGCATTCGGGAATCTTTATCTTAGAACCGTGTGCCCTGGAGGTTCGCGACCCCTAGATGCCGCAATTGACCCCGATTCCAAGTTCTGTATTGGTCCAGGAATTGATGAGACCTGGCCAGGGGCTTCCTTTTTAAATTCCGACGAGACAGCTTCCTATGCGGGTCCATGTGCGTGACTCCCTCTTTTAATAATAATAATATATAGAGGCTCCTCTAATATTTCCTTTTAATAGGGGACCAGTTAGCTGACCTTGGACTTGGTCCGGCCAAACGTGGACTTTGGCATTTGGAGAATTCGGACACTGTTGTTGCTCGTGGACCTCACCATGGGTCTAATGAGGAGCATATAACGATGCTGGAAAATGCTATGAAGATAATACCCATCGTATCGGTGACGCCTCTGCTTCAACGCCATTCGAGGCCAGTGCTTTGGCACACCGACCTACACCTTGGTAATATATTTGTTGCGGACGAAAACCCAACAAAAATCCTCGGCCTCATCGACTGGCAATACACCACCATTCTTCCGTTACTTTCTCAAGTACGCTGGCCTCTATTTCTCAACCCCCCGGAAGGATACCAACGTGGTATGGCCAAACTAGAACTACCACCGAATTTCGAAGAAATGGACCCGGATGAGAAAGCGTTTGCTCTTGCGGAAAGAGATGAAGCCACAAGGACAAAATGCTACGAGGCGGCACTCTCTAAGTATAGTCCCGCGTCTCTTCTTGCCATGAACCAGATCAGTGACACACTCCGGGATCTTTACATCAGGTGCGACAAGACCTACAAGGAAGGTATTATTCCGCTCCGTGACTCCTTGATCCTGATCTCGGAGAATTGGTCCAATTGGGGCCTATCTGGACAGTGTCCGGTAACATTTAGCCAAGAAGAAATTGACACGCATGAAGCGGAACTGTCTCAATACCGCGATTGGCATCAACTACGCGGGTATACTCATCAACTCCTATATTCAGATGATGAAGGCTGGATTCCCCCACAGTGTGATTTTGAAGAGATGAGGGCAAAACATAACTATCTCTACCAAGTGTACCTTGAGAAGGAAGAATTGTCCGAGGAAGAAGGTAGAAAAACATGGTTCTATAGAGACCGGGAGTGAATATTACGAGCTTGTCGGAGTATCATTGACATCTAGTTAACAACCCTAGATGGGTTCGAAGCCAAATTCCCTTAACTTCGAAGAGACTTTCATGTTCCAAAGGATTGTTAACTGCTTTAAGCCGTAAAGGCTCTTCGGGGGTTTATATAGGTTTATATACCCTCCTTGGCTTCGCAGCCCTTCCATACGGAATTTTCATGAAGATTTCTTTTATCGAGATTTGACCCAACATAGGCATTCTTCGCATCCAATCCATTAGGTGGATATTCCATTGGTGTACGGTTGCAATGCAATTGCAATTAGCAACCTCATGCCTTCAAACCAGACTACGGGTTAGAACGTCTCTTCATAATCTATAACTACCGTGCCTTTGGGAGAAGCCTCTTGCAACTAGCCTTGCTTTAAACCTTTCGATCTCTCTGTCCCATGTAAATTATACAACATGGATATCTGCGGGGGTATTAACCTCTTCCCACGTTTCAAAGGACCCGAGATCTGTTAGTTCCTTTTCTAGTGCTTCTTGCCAGTTCTACCCGTAAATCGGGTGGTTAATCGCTTCCTTGCCTGTCCTTGGTATAGGTATGCCTCTATTCTGCCCTCTTTCCTGTAAGGAAACCTTGTATATTTGCTCATGCAGAAGCTTAGCCGTTTTTTTGACGCGCTCTCTTCACTGTCTCCAGCGTATTCCTCTTTGACAAAGTATGAAATAATATTTTATTTGTATCTATTTATAAGTTATTTTTTATTCTGACTAATTAGTTACTATTTCTTTAGTTAACCAATCGTAACCTCTTTCAGGAGCCAACCAATCACGTAACTATTTATTAACGGACCCAGGAATTCCGGTATGAGAAGGTTGAGCTTCCTAATTGGGACTAAAGAGGCGTAACTATATACTTCAAGCATAACTAACTAAGTTACCTAGCTAAGGGAGCGTTACTCCGTACATACAAGTCGTTAACTCGTAACTATGGACGATAGCGTCGTCGTCACCATGAGCCACCGATATGAGGACGGTCGAAGCGCTGTTTCTCCTTCATCTCGCGGTAGTCAAGATAGCCGAGCCACTTCTTGTCCGCGATCTCTCTGAGATCCAGTCCGTCTTCCGGCTCAAGAGTCTGCGCATTAACGGAGAGATAGCAGGGTCTCAACGCTTCATCCCAGCCCTCCTCCTCGATCGTCCATGCCTTTGTCTTGATCGTCTTTGGTCCTTCAGCTCCCGCAGCAGCAGCCGCCTTCATGTCCGTTGTATCAGCAGGCCTGGTCGCCCACTCTTCCACCTCCACCTCTTGAACCCTCCCCTTTCCTGCGAAGGAGAAACAGCGAACGCCACAGGTAGGACAGAAGTACCAAGTTGAGCCCTCCTCGAGGATCTTGTAGGCCGTCAGGTCCTTTTCCGGCTCAAGAGGGGAGAGCAGGCGGAAGTCCCGGGGTGCTTTGGGCAGACGCATGTGGAAGAGGCCGAACTTGAGACAAGCGGTGCAGTTGCACTTGTAGAAGTGGACAGAGGAGTAGCGGTCGACTTTGCCGTTGGGACTGATGGTGGGAGGCAGCGTGATGTATGCCACATAGCGGATGAGGCCGCAGCGACAGGATCCCCTGTATGGCTCGCGGGTTGGCGCTGCCATGGCGTTGCGCTTTTCTCTCCTTCTTTAATATACTTCGTACAGGAGCCGCGTAAGAAGTGAAGCTATCTACTCCGTAGTATGTCTTTTTTGTCTCCTCCAGTGCCAGCTTCTCTCTGCTTTATGTAGGCCAGCCGTGGGAAGGCAGCAGCTCTTTGTCCGCCAGCCTTTGCTTGGAGGATCAAGGCAGCTAACCAGCATGACGCAGCTGCGCCGGCCACTCGCGTCTCTTTGTCTACATCCCCCTGTCCACATCTGCACCGTGCATCACTCGGACTCTGCCATCCCCACGGCTAATCTCTTTCCAGCCGTCTCAGGTTTGATGATCGCAAGGATCGGATATTGGCCTCATCTCCTCCGCGTTTCTCCTCCTGCGTCTTCTGCTGCTTCTTTCGCCTGCTTCTTTTCTTCTTTACCCCGTAAAATGTTTACCCGTTCTTCTTACATAATCAAAAGCAAACATGGCGCTAGAACGACGCTAGCGGACACATGGCATCTTACTAAGCCCTGTTGTCCAATCAGCGTCCGGCGGCTGACCAAGGCGCTCTCCCCCTGGGAACCTGGTCTCGTGACCCAGCTCCGCCCGAGGCAAACTTTCCCTTTTCTGCTTGTCTCAGATGAACTTTTGCCGGGAAGCTTTTTCTGGCTTGCGACCCCTGGAACTTCTTCTTAGTCTTCCTCCTCCTCGTCTTCCCTCCT